GCTTCCCTGGTGGTGCAGTGGTTAAGAATCCGCCTGACAATGCAGGGGACATGGGTTCAAGCCCTGGTCCAGGAAGGTCCCGCATGCCACGGAGCAACTAAGCCCGTGCGCTACAGCTACTGAGCCTGCGCTCTAGAGCCCACGAGCCGCAACTACCAAAGCCCACGCACCTAGAGCCCGTGCTCCGCAACAAGAGAAGCTACTGCAGTGAGAAGCTGGTGCACCACAACGAAAAGTAGCCCCCACTAGCCACAACTAGAGAAAGCCTGCGCACAGCAACAAAGACCCAACACAGCCATAAATAAATAAGTGAATGAATGAATGAATAAAAAAATATATGAGGGCTTCCCTGGTGGCGCAGTGGTTGCGAGTCCACCTGCCGATGCAGGGGACACGGGTTCGTGCCCCGGTCCGGAAAGATCCCACATGCCGCGGAGCAGCTAGGCGCATGAGCCATGGCCGCTGAGCCTGCGCGTCCGGAGCCTGTGCTCCGCAATGGGAGAGGCCACAACAGTGAGAGGCCCGCGTACCGTGCGCGCGCGCGCACACACACACACACACACACACACATATGTAAAAATCTGCCTGCCAATGCAGGGGGCACGGGTTTGAGCCCTGGTCCGGGAAGATGCCACATAGCACAGAGCAACTAAGCCCGTGCACCACAACTACTGAGCCTGTGGTCTAGAGCCTGTGAGGCACAACTACTGAGCCCTCGTGCCACAATGACTAAAGCCCATGCGCCTAAGAGCCTGTGCTCTGCAACAAGAGAAGCCACTGCAATGAGAAGCCCACGCGCCGCAACAAAGAGTAGCCCCCGCTCGCCGCAACTAGAGAAAGCCTGCACGCAGCAGCAAAGACCCAACACAGCCAAAAAAAAAAAAAAAGTAAGAACCATTCATTCCTAGCTTATAGGTTATACAACAGTGAGTGAGCAGGGGGTCATGGTTCACTGGCCCTGCTCTAGGAGCACTGGTCTGGGCACTAGGGGAGCTCATACATCCGGTCATTGTTTCTAGATCTTTTCAGTGCCCACATCTGGGAAATACATATTTATTTTAAAGAGAAAACTTTTCATGAGTTCATACTGATATTTCTAGTTCGTATTTAAGACTAGGATTTACTGAATTTATTTGATGTTCTGTTTGTAATTTAGGACATTTCTATTTTTGTTTTGTTTTGCTATTTGTGTCACTTTTTAAAAAAATATATTTATTTATTTATGGATGCTTTGGGTCTTAGTTGCAGCACATGGGATCTTCATTGCGGCATACGGGATCTTTTAGTTGCAGCATGTGGGATCTTTTTAGTTGTGGCGTGCGAACCCTTAGTTGCCGCATGTGGGATCTAGTTCCCTGACCGGGGATCGAACCTGGGCCCCCTGCATTGGGAGTGCAGAGTCTTAGCCACTGGACCACCGGGGAAGTCCCTAGGACAGTATGTTTTGGACCATGGTCCCACATCTTGCTGAGTTCAGGGAATGATGTGTGTGTCTCCCAGGCTGTTCTCAGGCCAGTTCCCTGACAAGAATTGAAGGTGTCTTTCAGCCTTCTAGCCTGGGCTGCCTGCATGGGAAATATAGCAGGATCTCTGGGGCACTGTGTGCAGGCCTTGTACCCTGGGAATGCCAAGGCCCCGTGGAGCAGCACCTTTTCATTAGAGGGGCATTGTCCTTAACCACTCAGAATTTATCTTACTGGAGAACCTGACTTCCCGTTATGAGGTGCCTTGTGTCCTGGACCTCAAGATGGGTACGCGCCAGCATGGTGACGATGCTTCAGAGGAGAAGGCAGCCAACCAGATCCGCAAATGCCAGCAGAGCACGTCTGCAGTCATTGGTGTGCGCGTGTGTGGCATGCAGGTGAGAGGAGTGCAGGTGCGTGGTGTGGGCTGGCTGGGGCATCCAGGAGCTGCCATTCTCCCACCGTGGCGTAGTCCCGTTTTCTCAAAAGATTCCAGATTTGAATGAACCTGTCACTTTCTGGTTAGAAAAGGAAGCATGCTTGCATGGGTAATCGTCTCTGGGGCTGCCCTGGTTGGCTGAGTCCAGAGGCTGTGGACAGGAGGGGGAGAAAGGCAAAAAAGTTAGGCCCTCTCCACCAACACATACACTGAGCAGGGGGCTGGTGATGGAACCCAGGTCAGAGGGCTGTATCCTGAGTGGGTGTTGATTGGCAAGGACAGTGTCTCTTGTGATACTTAACAAATTAAAGGATCTGATCCAGGACTGTCATATCGCTGCCACTCCCCAGGGTCTAGGCCCTGAGATGGCTGTCAGCACCTCACCTGCTGGTCTCCCTCCCACAGGTATACCAGGCAGGCAGTGGGCAGCTCATGTTCATGAACAAGTACCACGGCCGGAAGCTGTCCGTGCAGGGCTTCAAGGAGGCACTTTTCCAGTTTTTCCACAACGGGCGGTACCTGCGCCGCGAGCTCCTGGGCCCTGTGCTTAGGAAGCTGACTGAACTCAAGTCCGTGTTGGAGCGACAAGAATCCTACCGCTTCTACTCAAGCTCCCTGCTGGTCATTTATGATGGGAAGGAGCGGCCTGAAGTGGCCCTGGACTCAGATGCTGAGGACTTGGAGGACCTGTCAGAGGAGTCAGCCGACGAGTCGGCTGGTGCCTATGCCTACAAGCCCATCGGCACCAGCTCGGTGGACGTGCGCATGATCGATTTCGCACACACCACTTGCAGGCTGTATGGTGAGGACAGTGTGGTACACGAGGGCCAGGATGCTGGCTATATCTTTGGGCTCCAGAGCCTGATAGACATTGTTACAGAGATAAGTGAGGAAAGTGGGGAGTGAGCTTGCTGGCTGCAGCAGTACCTGAGAGACTCTCTGTGTCCCAGGCACAGCTGTGCTGCGTCGGGGAGGAGGCCAGTATGGCCAGGCGGTGGCCCCTGCAGCCTGGAGCTGATGGGCAGAGGCCTCTATGAGTCCCAGCCTGAGCCAGCCCCAACCGCTCTCGGAGTCTTTATTTATTTTAACTCTCTCTTCAACATTCCACATTTGATGATGCAGATACCTCTTTCTTTCCTGAGTGTAAATGTTCTAATACAAATCTTTTTGTTAATTGTACACAGTGCTGCTGTCGTTCTTGCCCAAGGATAGGCAGCCATCCCCCCTCCCAAACCTCAGAAACATCACATATGCCATGACCTCCACCCTGGCCCAGCAATATATTCCTTCCAGTGACCCCATCCCATGGACCCTAAAGTCACCATAGCCTCCTGGCTTAGTCCTCAGTCCCTTAACCAAGCACCCACACACATAACCGTAAATGGGTCCCTCTGGGATCTGTGCTGGTCTGTCCCAGCACCCCTTATGCAGAGAACTACAATTGACTGTTGATACAGGTCTTTCCCTGCCCTCATGTAGCTTAAGCCAAAGTTGGGCAGCAGGTGTGCCAAACGTTGGGTCCAGCTCCTCTGCCACTGGTAGCAGCTAATTGGCTGGACATTGTGATGTCAGACATCCTGGAGTCAATACTGGGGCCTCAGGTAGCCACCAGGCTTTGGTCTGTTGGCAGCCATTGGCTCTGTGGTCAAGGTCTTAGGAGGTCCCAGAAGGTGGGTGGCTTGATGGGAGGGGTTGTTCTGAGCAGTGTGGTCCTCTTGGCCACACCACCTGTCACCACTCCTACGCAGCCCTGGACCCCACTGCAACCACGCTAGTGTCATCCTTCATGTGGCTCCAGCCAGGGCAGCCCCTAAGAGAGCTACTTGTGCTCTGTGCTAGGATGGTTTCAGGGAGAGGTGTGGCAAGAGGTCTTGAACTGCAGACCCAGACACCAGGGAGAAGGACACAGAACCAGTGCTAAGAAGGTAGGGTCTAGATGTCCAGTTTTAGCAGCCCCACCCCTTGCCTTGCCTGAACCTCCTCTCCAAGGTCCACTATGCCTGTATCCACTATGTCCAAAAACAGGCCAACTGCATACACTGGCCTGGTTGTGCCTACAGCCCCTTCTCCCTGGGCCCAGGCTTCCAGAGGGGAATGTGGCTGGAGCAGCCCCTGGACAGAAATGGGAGGTCCCCAGGACCCTTAGGATCTCTCCCCGGGGTTTCCCCCTTCCCTCCTAGGACTTCAAAGACCTCACCAAGTCAGGGCTGACCGGAAGGTGGGCCAAACAAGCTCTTAAGGCCACATGGTGCCCCACTCTCCATCCTCCACCAGCCCTTCTGTCTGCTCTCAGAAGGAAGCATGAGAAATAAGATAACCTGGAGTTGTAAGTCCCCAAAGACAACAGAACAGAGTGATGTGATAGCGATTGATAGGGGTGGGAGCCTGCGGACTTTATACTGTGAGGAAGGAAAGTGTGTCCCAGGCAGAGGAAACTATGCAAAGACCCACGTTACAGAGGACGAGAGAAGCTAGTAGCCGAAAAGAGGAGGTGGGGTGGGGAGCAAGGATGGGAGGACTTTGGACAGAGAAATGGCCCCCCGTGGGTTTTGTTTTTACCGTCCCCCCTCACTCTTGCTCCCCGTTGCCCACCACTGGGGCGGTAAGCGGGGTCAGGAGGCCTAGAGACACGGAGCAGACCCGGGCCCCGCGGGCGCCTCCAAGTGTCTCAAGATCCAACAACGGGACTACCCTCACGGGGTCGCTGTCCTTATGTTAGTAGGTCAGGTCCCACTCCCCTGGGGTAGCAAGGACGCATGGGACTGTCAGCATCGGACAGAGGCTCTGTCTTTGGGCTGCGGGCGGAGCCCTCCTTCGGGAAGTCGGATGGGCCGCAGCACTAGGGCTTGGGCGGGTAAAGGGAGTGGAGGGCCGGGCGGGAAAGCTGGGTCTGGGGCTCTAGGCAGGGTGCTGGGGCAGGGAGTCGGGAGCTTGGAGACGCAGAAGTCCACGGAAGGGGCGGAAAGGGCAGCGGGTTCTCGGAGGCCGCGCCGGGCCGCGCAGCCTGTGGGCACTAGGGGGCGCCGCGCTTCTGCGCAGGAGCCGACACATCCTGGGGCGGGGCTGCGGCGGGCGGGCGCGCGCGCGCGCACGCGCGGTGTGTCACGGGGCAGGGCGAGCGCGGTGAGGCGCTCCCGGCCTGGCGTCCTGGTTTCGCAGACCCTGCCGTCTCTCCTGCCCCGGCCCGACTCACCCTCATGTACCGCGCGCTGTACGCGTTCCGCTCGGCGGAGCCCAACGCGCTGGCGTTCGCCGCGGGCGAGACCTTCCTGGTTCTGGAGCGCAGCAGCGCGCACTGGTGGCTGGCGGCGCGGGCGCGCAGTGGCGAGACGGGCTACGTGCCGCCCGCCTACCTGCGCCGCCTGCAGGTGAGTGTGCCCCTCCCCGGCCCGGCCTCAGCCGCCCCCTTGACTGAGCTCCAACATAGGCTCGCAGGACAGACCCCGGCACCCCAGGCCCGCCGGGACCTCCAGCAGATAAGGAGTTTGAGAACCTGACCGTGAAACCCCAGGAGGACTGGGACCCTAAGAGCCCGCGCCCCAACCCAAGACCAGGGCCTTGACAGCCAACTCTGAGGACTCAGATCTACCAAAAGCCCAACTCTGGGACTGAGACTCCTCGGGATCCCAGAGCCATTGGGCCCCAACATCTGAACCTCCATCCGAATAGAATTCAAGAGTCAGTCCTGAGATTCCAGCACACCAAATTCTGAGCAGTTCCCCAGATCATTGAGACCCCAGAATTAATTGGCCCCTTCCCTGGATCACCAGGATCCCACACTTTTGCCTCCTTTTCCTCAGCTTCCACCACTGAGACCCGGGCAACCCTGGACACTGCCTGTTTCCCCACCATCTTCCATGCCTTTACACCCCCTCTCCCATTTGGACCTGAGAGCCATGGACACCCCCCTCCCCTAAATGACCCCCCAAGCCCTGAGACCTCAGTATCTTTTACTCTCCTGTACTCAGTCACCCCCTAAGCCTTTCCTAAGACACCTTCGTCAGTTCACTTTGAACCAGGGATCCCAGGCCCTGCTGACACTCCCTGGCACTACTCTCTTTCACAAGCCTCAGGCCCTGACTTTTCAGACTTCCTTTCTCTGAAGATGAGGGAGCTCCATCCCTCCTTGGCCCCCAGCCTGGGGTGGGGGCTGCTCCCATTGCAAGGAAGTGAGACCTCCCCATGGCGTCCCCGGTCTGGCTTTGGCCCCATTTCCTTCCAGTGGAGTCTGCAGCCCCAGTTCCTGTTTCCCCAAGAATAGTCCTGGTATGGGGGCTGGGATGTGTTGTCTCCAGCTGGTCTATTCTGATCACAGGGGGAAGGAGGGCCTGGAGCCTCCAGGTCTGCCCTGTGCCAGACACCCCCGCCCCATCCTAGTTCATAGCCTTTAGGAAACATCCTGTCCCAGCCCAGTTCAGGACAGAAATAACAGGATAAATTTGGAGATGTCATCTGGTCTTACCAGAGGGGATGGGCCCTGGTCCCTAAACCCTTGGCCTCATGGCATCTAGGAGTGTCTGGGTAAGAGTGAGAGCCCTGGACACCAGGGCTACTGGGTCCAGGGTGAGCATGTCAGACCCAGCCTCTCTGGAGCTGGGAGCTTGTTGGAGGCCTCTGAGGAAAGTCCTGCCTCTTCCCCGAGGGCCCAAGAGGCCCCTCCCCTGCCTGGGCCACTGGGGCTGGGTGTTTGGGGAGGGCAGAGAGGCTACCATCTTGTCTATCTGTTGGTTTCTTGCTGCATATCTCCCTCTGCCTTCGTCTCCGTGGCTCTCTCTGTATCTCGGTGTCATTCTGACTCTCTGCTTGTGTGTGTTTCTTCCTCTGACTCTCTTCCCTTCTCTGTCTCCAAATCTCAATTTCTTTCTGCGTGTCTCCCTCTGCTTCTCTCTCTCTCCCTCTCTCTCTCCCTCCCTCCCTCTCGCTCTCTCTCCATCTTTCTTGCTTTCTGTGTATCATCTGTCTTTCTCTGTCCCCCTTTCTGTCTGCTGTCTCCTGCGCTCTGACACGCCCCGTGCTACCTGGAGGGCTTTGTTGACCTCTGAGTCCATCTGTCTGTCCCCATCAGAGAAGCTTCTCAAACCCACTCTGGTGTGATGTCACCTTAGTTCTGAGGCTCCTATGTCTGATGGACCATGTGTGCCAGGGGCAGCGAAGGGTGGGAGTGGCTGGTCCCACAGCTGCCACCCCCTACTCTGTACCCCATGCCAGCCAGGCTGGGTAGATTGGACCCCTGAGTTGCTGCGGATGGCAACACAGAATCTGGGGCAGGGGCCAGGTCCTGCGCTCATGTCTGTCTTTTGCCACAGACACAGAACTGCTGCTTCCCAGTGCACGTCTGGAGGATTCCTGGAATAGCTTGAGGGGATGGGGGCTGGCATCAGGGGTGGAGAGAGGAGATCCCTTTGGCCTGTCCTCAGCTACCAGGGCCTGCAGAAGGCTCTCTGAGGACAGGGCCGTCCTGGAGTGTGACCTTGGTTTTGTGAAGGATCAGCAAGATCCAGAGTGATTTGTTAAGACTTCCAGACACTAGAGGCTCCCTGCTTGGCATCTCAGCCTGGGATCTGAGCCAAGCCTGGGGATAGACTAAGTGTGTACTCCTGGCCTCAAACTGAGGGTCCATGGGCTGTGGTATTGCTCTAGACCCCAGGTTTTCGGCTACATCTTAGCTGAGAGCCTCACTGTGAGGTAAAATCCTGCGCGGGGCCCCAATATATAAAGCAGCAGCATGGGCCCTCCCCGTGGCCCAGCTCCCTGAGTGACGCAGTTTGAGAAGCCCATTTCATATTCTAGTTCAGCTTGCTGTGTTCACATCTGGCATTACAGGCTTCAGCTGTAGTGGTCCTTTGTCTGCCCCGGGCTCCATCCTGGGCTGGCTCTGGGCTCAGTACCTCACTTGGCCCCCAGACCTAACTGCCCACCCCTGCCCCCACAGGGCCTGGAGCAGGATGTCCTCCAAGCCATTGACAGGGCCATTGAGGCTGTGCACAATGCAGCCATGCGGGATGGTGGCAAGTACAGCCTGGAGCAGCGCGGGATCCTCCAGTGAGTGGGGCGGGAGAACCGCCCAGTAAGCACCGTGGGGTGGGGTCCTTCAGTGAGTACTGGGGACGCCAGAGAGCAGTGTTGGTAGTGCAGAGTGGGGTGGAGCATGAGGGCAGTGGGAGGTTGGGGAGCCTGGGCTAGGGTGGGCCGCATCCCACGAGGAGCATGTGAGGACTTCGGGAGTCGTAAGGTAACTCCCCCAATAACCTCCCTGTCCCTCCCTCAGGAAGCTGATCCACCACCGGAAAGAGACCCTGTCCCGCAGAGGCCCCTCAGCCCCCAACCCTGCAGCTATGACGCCGTCCACCAGTGACCACCACCTGGATGCTGCTGCTGCCAGGCAGCCCAACGGGGTGTGTAGAGCTGGATTCGAGCGGCAGCACAGCCTGCCCAGTTCTGAGTATCTTGGGGCAGATGGAGGCCTCTACCAGGTACATGGTGAGAACATCCTGGGAAAGGGAGGTGGGTGGAGCTTAAGGCTTTGTCCAGAGGCGCCAGGGGTCCACTGGGGTCAGCGATGCCGCCCGGAACCATAGTCCTGCCCATGCCAAGCTCAGGGCTCTAGCCAGGTCGTACCCTCAGATCCCACTTCTGTCCTCCCAGATCCCACCACAGCCTCACCGAGCAGCACCCGCCACGCCACCCCCACCTGTGAAGCGCCGAGACCGCGAGGCCCTACTGGCCTCCGGGAGTGGTGAGAAGGCGGGGTTGGGGGACTCGGGGGGCACCCTGTACTTGGAATGGTTACTCTGCCTATGTCAGGGAACTGGGGGCTCCAGGCTTGGGGGGAAGACAGGGCACGTGTCGGGGCAGTTGGGGGTTCTGGGCTTGGTGGGAGGGTCTGGCATAGGAACTAGGCCCTGTACTGGGGGGCGGGGGCTCTGGGCTTGGAGGGGCTGGGGCCCCCAGGGGGCTGCCCTAGCACAGCATCCCCTCTCTGCCCACAGGCGGCCGCAACACCACACCCTCTGGGGGCAGTTCTGTGTCCAGCGGCTCCTCTGTCAGCAGCGCCTCCCTTGACACACTCTATACCGGCTCCAGCTCATCGGAGCCAGGCCCCAGCTGCTCACCCACGCCCCCACCTGTGCCCCGCCGAGGCACGCATACCACTGTGTCCCAAGCTCAGCCCCCTCCCTCCAAGGTGCTAAACTCGGAGCCCCCTACAGAGGAGGTAGCAGTTGATACAGCCCCAGCCCCTGATGAGCTGGAAGCCCTGGGTGCACTGAGCCTGGGGACCACAGAAGAGAAGGCGCTGGCTGAGACTGCTGTGCCCAGGACCATTGGGGCAGAGCTGATGGAGCTCGTGCGGAGGAACACCGGCCTGAGCCACGAGCTGTGCCGAGTGGCCATTGGCGTCGTGGTGGGTCACATCCAGGCCTCAGTGCCGGCCAGCTCACCTATCATGGAGCAGGTCCTCCTCTCACTGGTAGAGGGCAAGGTGAGGGTGGGCAACAGGGCCAGGGGCCTCCCCATCCTGGGGCCGCTCTACAGCCCCTGCCCCTTCCCCACCCTCACACTGTGTCCAGCCTTTACCTGACAGGTCTTTGTTGAGCTCTAGCTCTTGGCTTCCTTGTGCTGGGTACTGGGGACATTTGGGCTGATCCCTGAAGGAGAAAGGGAGGAAGAGTATTCCAGGCAGAGGCTCAGGCTGGACAAGGGCCATGAGGCAGGACCGAGCTTGGCTCACAGGAAGAAGTGGAACAAGGCCAGCATGGCTGGAACACAGGGGGTGAGGGAGGGAGCAAGTGGTGTGGTTGGAGGTGAGACCTGGGGCAGGTGACAGATGAGACAGCCATGGGTGGCCAGGAGTTCTCTCAGGCTGCAGGGAAGTAATGGACATAAGGCATGAGAGAGGGCAGTGTCATGCTGGCCTTGGCAGTGGAGAGCAGTGGGTGCTTCGAGAGCTATGATGGAGGCCTGAGTGCTGACTGAGATGTGAATGAGGTGTGTGTGGATCATGGGCGGGTGGGATCCTTTGCCAAGGTTGGGGCACTGGTCAGGGAGCAGGATTGGGGGGCATGAGTCAAGTCTACACAGTGGGGGCCAGATGGGCCAGAGGTCTCTCCTTAGGGCTCCATGGCTCCTGCAGCTCTGGTTTGGGGCGTGGAGAGCAGTGAGTCAGTGGGCTTGCCTGTGCTGGGACACTGGATCAAGAGGAACACGGCAGGTGGGTAGATGACAGGCCTGTCCCACTTTGTGTAGAATCAGGGGGTGGAGTCTCAGTCACATTCAGGCAGTGAGGAGTTGGTGGCCTTCCTCATGGAGGATGTTTATCCAGGTCTGGGACAGGAGGCAAGTTGTTGGAGAACACCCCACGGATGTGTCTCATGCAGAATCCTGTCCCAGACGGTTGTTAAGACTTGGGGGCAGTGGAATTACTTGGGGAGGGGGTATAGAGCTGGGTCAGTGCCCTTGGCGGCCTCGATGTTGGGGGATGGGCTGTGGGAGCAGGTCTTTTGTGGGAGCTTGATGGGAGCAGCGGGGAGGAGGGAAGAGAACTGGGGGCTGGTCCCCTCACCCTTCCTGCGATGACGCTGGCTCCAGGTAGCTCTGGTAGGTGAGGCTGGGGCCCCCTGCCTGACACTGGCCTGGAGCTCATGCCATGACCTCAGGGTCTAGGTTGAACTCCAGGCCTTGTGGGCCTCCTGGAGATGGTGTGGGGCAAGTGTGCTGAGCCAGACCTCTTCCTCCAGGACCTGAGCACTGCCCTGCCCTCAGGGCAGGTCTGCCATGACCAGCAGCGGCTGGAGGTGATCTTTGCAGACCTGGCCCGGCGGAAGGATGACGCCCAGCAGCGCAGCTGGGCCCTGTATGAGGACGAGGGTGTCATCCGCTGCTACCTGGAGGAGCTGCTGCACATTCTGGTGCGGGCTGGGTGCCCCCAGGTGTCCCCCACCCCTGCCCCATCCCTCCCAGTGCTCGGGAGTCTCCCCTACTCATCCTCAGCTCACTCACATGTGGCCACCTTACACTGAGTGACTCCATCACACTTCGTCCTCCCCACAGACGGATGCAGACCCTGAAGTTTGCAAGAAAATGTGCAAGAGGAATGAGTTCGAGTCTGTCCTGGCCTTGGTGGCCTATTACCAAATGGTGTGTGGGAAACAGAGGGGAGGGGGCACAGAGGGACCTGGGTAGAGGTGGGGGTTCCGGGCATTGAGCACACAGGGTCCCCTGCCAGGAGCACCGGGTATCGCTGCGGCTGCTGCTCCTCAAATGCTTCGGCGCCATGTGCAGCCTGGACGCAGCCATCATCTCCACACTAGTGTCATCTGTGCTGCCTGTGGAGCTGGCGCGGGACATGCAGACAGACACGCAGGGTGAGTGAGGGGCAGCTTCCTGCCAGCTGGGGAGGTTCCCGCCATCTGGGGGGCTCTGACCGCCTGCTTTGCTCCCCCGCAGACCATCAGAAACTCTGTTACTCCGCCCTCATTCTGGCCATGGTCTTCTCCATGGGGGAGGCAGTGCCCTATGCACACTATGGTAAGAAGGCAGGTCACTGACCAGCGGACCACAGGGAGCCAACAGCCCGCTGGAGGTGGGGCCCATGGCCCAAGGGGCTGGGCACCCACTGACTGTAGTCTGACTGAATGTCTCCAGGGCTCACAGAAACCCAGGGAGGCTGGGCGGTGTGGCGGTGTGTGACGGGGGGCGGGCTGCAGACTTCCACGTGCCCCTCTCCCAGAGCACCTGGGCACACCCTTCGCCCAGTTCCTGCTGAGCATCGTTGAGGACGGGCTGCCCTTGGACACCACCGAGCAACTGCCGGATCTCTGCATGAATCTACTTCTGGCTCTCAATTTGCACCTGCCAGGTGGGGGCAGGGCCTGACGGGGGTGGCTGACTCACCGTAGGGGGGAGGAGGGGGGCTCTCCAGGCTTAGCACCTGTGCTGTTGTCTACCCCCGTGTCCTTCCTCAGCCCCTGACCAGAACTTCATCATGGCCGCTCTGAGCAAACACGCCAATGTCAAGATCTTCTCCGAGAAGCTACTGCTGCTCCTGAACAGAGGGGGTGAGGGCCCAGGAATCTGTGTGGGGCCCCTTCGATGTCCTGTGACTCCATGACTCCTGTAACTCGCTGGGGTGACTCTGGGCCCCCTCGAGGACTGCCCTGACCCCCTCTTCCCCCTGCCTTCTAGATGACCCCGTGCGCATCTTTAAGCATGAACCTCAGCCACCACACTCTGTCCTCAAGTTCCTGCAGGACGTGTTCGCCAGCCCCGCCACAGCTGCCATCTTCTACCACACGGATATGATGGCGCTCATCGACATCACCGTGCGGCACATCGCGGACCTGTCGCCTGGAGATAAGGTGCCTGGGGATGGCAGCTGTGTAGAAACTAACAAAAGGGGGGCACCTGACGCTGAATGGAGACTAGGGCGAGGGGCACTGCTGGAGCCGGGTAAGCGTGGGAGGCCGCTCAACCATGACAGGTGTGCCAAGACCCAAGGGAGCCCGCCATGAGGTGATCGGGGGTGGGCTGTCTGAAGAAAGCAGGAGTGGAGGGAGTGGTGGGAGGTGAGGAGGAGGAAGTAGAGTTTACACAAAGCCTTGGAGGCTGCGGCGGGAGGTTGTCACCCCTTCTCAGGGGCAGGGGAAGTGATCTGATTACCATCCTGAATGAAATGGAGACTGAAAGCACAGCAGAAGCGGGAGGCTGGTGAGGAGGCGGCTGCAGCTGTCCACGTGGCACGAATAGGCTGGGAGAGGAGGTCAGGCCGGGGTGTGTTGGAGGTGAGTTGGCAGGGCTTGCTGCTGGATTGGTCTGGAGCAACCGGGTGGATGAAGTGCCGATTGCTCAGGTGGGGAAGAACCTTTGAATAGAGTTGTGTTTTGATGTGTCAAGACTGAGAAGATATCTGTTGGACATCCAGGTACAGAGGACCTGGGGTGTGAGTTGGGACTGGAAAGAGACACTTTGGAGTTGGCTGTGCATAGATGTGCTGGGAAGCCTGTGACAGTGCGGTCACCTAGGGTGTGGGATGGATGGGACAGAGGGAAGCTCAGGCCTCAGCCCAGGGCACAGTTGGGGCACATAGGGAGACACCCAGGAGGAAAACCAAGAGAGCAGGAGCCCAAAGCCACGTGTATGGAGGAGGAGGGGGATGAGCTGTCTCCACAGTTAGGAGCCCGAGTGAGATGAGGCCTGAGAATGAGCCACTGGATTCGCCACATGGAGATGAGGCGTGATTCACAAGCAGCGTCCATGGACTGGAGGGAAGAGAATCCGAGTGGGAAGTTGAAGAGAGGATTTGAAGTTGGAGGGGAGTAGAAAGGGGGAAGATGGGAGCAGTGAATGGAGACAACCTTCGTGTGTTTTTAAGTGAAGGGGAGCAGAAAAAGGTGGGGGATCACTGGAGGGAGACATGGGGTCAGGGAAAGTCTTTTAAAGGTGGGAGATGCAGGTGCATGTCTGAGTCAGAGGGAATGATCCAGCACGCCAGTCATGGAGAAACGGCTGATGTGTCGGGAGAGTCAGCCGCTGCGGGTGTCAAGTAGGTCAGGCAGCAGGGGAGGGTCCAGGCCCCCCTGGAGGGAAGGCCTCTGGCAGGAGCCAGGACAGTTCATTCACTGGGGACAGGTGAGGTGTGGGTGCCGGGGGAAGACCAGGCGTTTCTGAAAGTCTGCTTGTTTTCTGCATGAAGCACAAAGCCAACTGATCGGGCAGTTTAGGTTTGGAAAATGGAGAGAAGGTGGGCAGTGGTCCTTTCAGGAACAGTGAACGTGGCAGAGGAAAGTGGCAGGGGTGCCAGGCAGTGAGGTTTGTGGTGGGGAATGCCGTTCAAGCCTGCACAAGACTCTAATTGTCTGCTGCTTAGCTTCTAGGATTTGATTGGCAGGTGCTTTTTGGTCTGACCAGGGTTGGGAGTTAGCAGGGTGATGCTGCCTAAAGAAGGTTTGAGTATTGACTCCTCTAATCAGAGGTAAAGAGAGAAATGAGGGATGGTGAGGGGAGCAAATGGAGGAAAAAGTGCTGGCGCCAGGCCAATGGATCAGGGTCTCAGTGAGGATAAGGAGCAGCTGGGGTGTCAGATTGGAGTGGTTCTTGGAGCCGTTAAAGCCAGAGGTGCTGGGAGGGTGGGTTGGCAGGGGGTGTTAGAGATGGATTCAGGGCACACGTAGGAGGCAAGACGGCCGGGTCTTACTGGGACGGATTGGATTCGGGGTGTGGGGAGAAAGGAACCGGAGGGGACACGTGCAGTTTTGGCCTGAGCACTTGAATGGACAGCAGTGCTCTTTATTAAAATAAAGAACACGAGAAAGCCTTCAGCTTTGGGAAGATGGGGAAGATCACGAGTTTGATGGTTGTTATGTGAGTTTGAGTTCTCTCTCAGATAAGCAGGAGGTGACAAGTGGGCAGTTGGATTTTCTCATCTGCAGCTCACCGGAGAGTCTCTGCAAGAGGTTTGAGTGAGGGTCACTATTTGAAGCTGTGGGTGTGAATGAGATCTTCCAGAGTGAGAGGATAGAGTGAGAAGCAGAGGGCCTCCAACAGACAGACAGCAGCCCCACAGGGGCCCAGCATTACAGGAGGGATGGGGGCTCGCTGCTTCCCCTCACCACCTCTCTGAGGCAGGACTTCCCTGGGCCGGCCGCGTTCTGGGACTGTGTGTGTCTCAGATGATTTATTTATTCACTTACTTATTCAATGACTATCAAAGGCCAGTTCTGTGCCAGGTCCACCCTGGGTGCTGGGGATGCAACCCTGATCTTCAGTGGTGTGAGGTGGTCCACAGCTCTGGGGTCCGTGTGGCTGCCAGGAGGCAGTAGTGGCCTGTCCCTGTCTGGTGGCAGTCTCAGTGCCTCCCTGGGGTCCCTGAGCTTGCCTGGTCTCCCCACAGCTTCGCATGGAGTACCTCTCCCTGATGCACGCTGTGATCCGCTCCACACCCTACCTACAGCACCGCCACCGGCTCCCCGACCTGCAGGCCACACTGCGACGCATCCTAACCGAGGAGGAAGCCTCGCCCCAGTGTCAGATGGACCGCATGATTGTCCAAGAGATGTGCAAGGAATTCCCGGTGCTGGGCGAGGCCCCCAGCTAGCACCTTCTTTTCCTCCCTTCCCTGCAGCCCTGGGTAGGGTGCAGGGGACTCGGAGGCTTGGCCCTAAGAATGTTTTGCACTGACAGTGTGAGGGGAGGTGATGGTGGAAGGGACCTAAGCAGGGGCCCCCACCTGAAATAGAGCTAATGAGAGGGGCCAAGCGCAGGATTAGGGACCACGCGCTGGGAGCTATGCTGGGGCAGGGGGAGTGTGAACTGAAGCCCCTCCATCTCCCGCTGGGCTGCCTCTTCAGCATGCCTCCCCACCCCATACACATGCACACTCAGAGTCCTGCTGCTGCTCCAGGCTGGGCCAGAGCCCTCATCCCCCGCGCCCACCTGGTCTGTGTCCTGGGCTTCAGCAAGCCGTGTCCCTGGGGTTAGAGGAGGCACCTTCCGCCAGCTCCGTTCTTTGCCTTAGCTTCGCAGTGAGTGCTGCTCATGTGCTCTGTCCCCCCAGCCGCCACCCCGTGGGGGTCTCTGCCCCTCACTCCAACCCCCAGAGGTCTTGGCCAAGCTGCTTCTTTGAAAGCAGAGTCTTAGAGACAGGCCATCCACCCTGGAGCCTCACAGAATGAGGTGATGGCACTGATAAAGCCAATGACAGAATCTATTTTCTCTGTAAAAGCGTAGACCGAAAAGCCTTGTGTATTTTCCTGTGTGCTGCAGCTCAGCTTGGAAATAAATCACAGGCATCTGGAAACAGGCTTCCCTGTATGATCCTGAGTGGTGGTGGGAGAGGATGGTCAGGGGCACTGGGGCCTCAGGACCTCGTCACTAGCTTGCCCTGTCCTCTCCAGCCTGAGGAGGTGATGGTCTCTAACAGGCCTCTCCATCGAGGTCCCTTGAGCCCTGTTCCAGCCTCTCTTCCCTGGGTTCCCACTTCTCCTGGGCCACAGCCACTGCCACTGAGAGCCCCATGGTCCATTTGCAGGTGACTGCCCCTCCAGGCTTCACTTACATCTTTCTTTGCCTTGAATGCCGTGTCTGTCTCCCCTGTTGAAACCCTATATCCTTTACACCTGTTCTCAAATGAAGCGGCTCCTATCCAAGCCCTGGCCTCCCTGAACTCTTAGGGCTGCCCAACTGTTTCCCTTCCTTATTTGTCTTCCTCTGGATCCAGCGAGGTTCCCTCATTTTGCAGCCTTAGCGGAGATTTGGTAATTACAGTAGGACAAAAAGAATATCTCAACAAGTGTGGGGTTAGTTGTGCACTGTTTGAGGGGAATCAGAGGCCAACGTTGGGCAAAAAACTTTTTCCTCGTGGGCTCCCCAGTTAACTAAGGCTGTCACCATAAGTTGGGGAAGACAGTCAGAACCTGTAGGCAGACACCAGGCAGCAGTGGTTTCCATCAGTTCCCTTCAGTTTGTTACCCAAGATGATTCTCATCAGATTCCACACATCCAGAATCACTGATGCTGTGACTTCTCGCCACGACTTTTCCTTTCTTAATGGGGTGCTGAAGGCAGAGGGCTCTTACTCTCTCAGCAGAACGGAATACGGCAAGAAGCCCAGCAAGGCCAGTCCAGGGGTGGGGTCCCAGGGAAACAGGTCCATGGGAGCAAAGCACAGGAGGCCAGCAGGGAGATGTCCTTCCTGACCTGTTGACTCTTCCAGAAGTTTAAGTGCACAGGCTCACCTGGACCTGAGGAGGAGCTGACACAGTTGTCTGCAAGAAAGCTCTGTGTGGTACAACCTGGTCACTTCATCCTGGAGGCCTCTGCCTGCCTTCCACAGACGGAATCAACAACACTGACTTCCAGGTACAGCTCCTTTCTCATTGGAGTGCTGAAGGCGGAGAACCATGGTTCTCCTCCTGAGAGCGAGTAACTCAGTGATAAGCACAGGTCCTCAGGAAGCTGAGGCAGGAACATTTGATAGCCTCTGTGCCTTGCTCTGTTTGCTGTTAGGCTGCACACACTGACCTCGTGGGAAAAGCAGGGCAGTGCTATGCCATCTGTCCTAGTGCTGGCCCCTGTGAGAAACGAAGTGCAGCCCCGTGGCTGGAAGATCAGAGCCCCTGCCCACTTCTGTGTGATCGTCCAAGGGACCCTTGCATGTGTTTGTAAGGAGACACTCAGAAGGGCCAGGACTCCAGGACCGTCAATAAACACCTTGATGGTGTCTCACCGCACAGAATTAAAGCTACCAAGGACAATGACTAGCCAGAGAATTCCTCAGGGAAGGAACTGTCTGAGAGAATACCTCTGACTGCTTGGAAGGATGGTAGACGTGGATGTGGTTAGTCAGGGGAAAGGGTAAAGAGAGGGAAAACTAAGGCACTCAAAGAAGGGAGTGACAGGGTGGGGCTGAGGAAAACTCAAATTTTGAGGGGCAGTGAGGGCTGGGCGTTTGGGCCAACCTCTGGGCTAGAAGTGGGTCCCTACAGGTGTGGTACCATGTCTGTGGGACATGTCTGAGTACAACATGCTACACGTGCATAAGGCAACTCCAGGGTAAGGGATTGGGTGAAGACCACCTGCCTGCTCAGTCCCCAAAAGATACAGACTGAGGCTCCAAGTATGTGAGGATAACCTTTTCTTTTTCTCTCTTATTTAATGGAAGAATAACATACTATGAAAGCTACAGTATGCAAAGAGTACAGCTAATGAATTATGACAGAAGATGCTAATGTAGTCACCACCCAGTGTCACTAGTTCCCAAAGCCCACTGTGCACCCCTCTCAATCACCAACTCCTTCCTTCTCCCCAGACCTCTTCCCTAGAGGTAATTACTGATAAGTTTTGCCTGTTTTTGAACTTTATATAAATAGAATCATATAGACACTGGCTTCTTCACTCACCAAGTTTTTGAGGTTTGTCTATGTCATAGTATGTGGTTGCAGTTTGCTCATTCCCAGTGTCGTGTGGGTTACACCCTCATTTATTTATCCACAGTGTTAACGACTGTGGATAAATTTCAGTTTCCAATTTTTGTCTATTACGAATCGTGCTGTCAGGAGCACTGTTGTACATGTCTTCTTGTTGCTCATATGCCTTGCACCAGGAGGTATATCCTCAAGAGTGGAATTGCAGGGTCACAGGCAGAAACTGCCAAATAGTTTCCCAAAGTAGTTGTACCAGTGTGCTCTCCTCCACTGGTGCCTGAGTTCCAACTGCTCTACATCTTTCCCAAAACCTGGTATTGTCAGTCATTTTCATTTTAGTCATTCTGGTGCAGTATAGTAGTATTTACTTTTACACTTGCGTTTCCCTGACAACTAAAGAGGTTGAGCACCTTTTCATTAGTTTACTGGCTATTTGGATCTTCTCTTGTGAAGCACCTGTTCACATCTCTTGCACATTCATCAACTGGGTTGTCTATCTTTTGTTGGTTTGTAGTATGTATTCAGGATATGAGTCCTTGGGTTGTATATCTTACAATATCTTCTCCCATTCTTAACATCTTTTGATGAAAGGAAGTTCTTAATTGTAATGTAATCCAATTTTTCAGTGTTTTCCTTTATGGTTAGTACATTTTGTATCCTATTTAAAAAATATATATTTGCGGACTTCCCTGGTGGCGCAGTGGTTGAGAGTCCACCTGCCGACGCAGGGGACACGGGTTCGTGCCCCGGTCTGGGAAGACCCCACATGCTGCGGAGCGGCTGGGCCCGTGAGCCATGGCCGCTGAGCCTACACGTCCAGAGCCTGTGCTCCGCAATGGGAGAGGCCACAACAGTGAGAGGCCTGTGAACACCCCCCACCAAAAAAAAAAAAAAAAAATATATATATATATATTTGCTTAAAGTCATGAAGAACTTCTGTGTTCTCTTCTAAAAGCTGCATTGTCTTTCCTTTCATATTCACATGTCAAACCTGGAATTGATTATGAAGGTAGTATGAAGTAGGGGCCTCATGTAATTTTTTTCTGCATGGATGTCCAATCGACCCAGCACCATTTATTGGAAAGCCCATCCTTTGTGTTGGCTCTTAAGAGCCACTCTTGTCAAAATTCAAGTCTCCACACATCTTTAGACCCCTCTCTGGATTTTGTTCCATTCATCTGTCTATTCCTGCACCAGCACCATACAGTCTTGGTTTCTGTAGCTGTAGCTTTCTTGATCTCCTATAGACGAAGCTGTTCTCCTACTTGGGTTTTCTTCGGACTGTCTTGGGTATTCCTGGCCCTCGTACGTTTTAGAATCCAGTTTGTCAGTTTACACACACACACACACACACACACACACACTACACAGTATCTGCTGGGATTTCTATCGGAGTTGCATTGAATCCATTCTTTGGGAAGAATTAGCATGTGTGCAATACAGGCATACCTCATTTTGTTGCACTTCACAGATAAACTGCATCTGTTACAAATTGAAAGGTGTTGAAGGTTTGTGGCAAACCCTGTGTCAAGCAAGTCTAATTGTTGCCAATTTTCCAACAGCATTTGCTCACTTCATGTCTCTGTGTCACATTTTGGTAATTCTCATAATACTTCAGACTTTATCATTATTATATTTGTTATGATGATCTGTGATCAGTGATCTTTAATGTTGTTTTTCTTTTATTTTTGGCCACGCCATGCAGCATGCGGGATCTTAGTTCCCCCACCAGGGATCGAACCCGTACCCCCTGCAGTGGAAGTACTGAGTCCTAACCACTGGACCACCAGGGAATTCCCTGGTGTTACTTTTCAAAAAGATTACAACTCACTGAAGGCTCAGGCGATGGTTAGCATTTTTTAGCAATAAGGTATTTTTTTAAAAATTTTGTGGTCCCCCCACCTTTTTAGGTTTTGATTTTCTCTTTTTTAAAAAATATTTATTTATTTATTTGGTTGCACTGGGTCTTAGTTGCAGCAGGTGGGCTCCTTAGTTGTGGCTCATGGGCTCCTTAATTGCGGCAGGCAACCTCCTTAGTTGTGGCATGTGAACTCTTAGTTGCCGCACGCATGTGGGATCTAGTTCCCTGGCCAGGGATCGACCCCAGCCCCCTTGCATTGGGAGCACAGAGTCTTAACCACTGCGCCACCAGGGAAGTCCCAGCAATAAGGTATATTTAATTAAGGTATGTGCATTTTTTTAGGCATAATGCTGTTATTGTACACTTAATAGACTCTAGTCTAAACATAACTTTTATATGCCCGGGGAAACCAGAAAATTTGTGTAACTCACTTTATTGTGATATTTACTTTATTGCGGTGGTCTGAAACTGAACCCACAGTATCTCCGAGGTATGCCTGTATTTAATCTTTCAGTCTTTGAACATAGTTTTCCACTCCATTTATGTCTTTATTTCTCTCAATAATGTTTTTTTCTTCCAGTGTTTCTTGAGATATAATTGACATATAGCACTATATAGGTTTAAGGTATACAGCCTAATGATTTGACTTACATACATCATGAAATGATTATCGCAGTGTTTAGTGTCAATAATGTTTTATTGTGTGTGTGTATGTGTGTGTGAAGAGTCATTGCACATATTTCATTATATTTATTCTAGCATTTTACCTTACATGATGCTACTGTAAATCACATCATGAAAAAAATTTTTCTCACTTGTTGATATATAGAAATTACAACTGATTTTTATATATTGACCTTGCATCCAATGAATGCTAAACTCTAACAACTTATCTATAAGTTCTTTTGGATTTTTTACATACACATTCCTGTTGCCTGTGAATAAGTTTTCTTTTTTCCTTTCCAATCCTTGTACCTTTTTACTGTTTTTCTTGCCTTACTGTGCTGGCGAAGC